CCAGATGGCTTCTTAATATGTGCATGCCTTTGCATGAGTGCGTGCATGTGAACGCGAGCATATGAGTGTGCTTATATGAATTAATGTTATAGTAATCTATAACCTTGTACAGTATGTGAAGCAAAGAGCTAACAATTTGCCCTAATCCTACCCAGAAAATGGAAAATGTTGTGTTTTAGTTGTGAGGGCACAGGTATAAAGTGAGGGGAACTTTGTCCTGTACTGTTGCCCATAAATGAAGCATTAACCTAAGCTATGGTTTTATCTCTCGGCGTGGGGCTGTTGGGCTCAAGGCTAAACAGAGACTATATAAAAAGGGAGTGAGAGAAAGTGTGAGGTGAGTGATACCATCAAACCGAAACTGATCTAGTCTTGCTATCAGCTGTGATTTGAAAAGCAAGTTCCACTCCACTCGCTTTTTCTTCTTGAGATGTTTTGCTGCCTCAGATTTCTCCTCTTTGGCATAGTGTTGTTTTGCTTGGCCTTTTGGGGTGGCTGTAAGTCCATGATCCCATTTTGGGGTCTGTTTGCAGGAAGTCAAAGAGATGAGAGACCAAGCCATTTGATCTTCCTCTGTCTCTGATGGGCGCTATGTGATATGCATGTTTTTAATTAGTCTTCATTTGGCATGACTAGATATTTGGTTTTATTGCTTTACTCTGACTCTGCATGTGATCCATTTCAAAGGTGAATTGTGATAGAGCAATAATACAGATTGCCATAACCACAGGCATAATTAACTCTCTTGGCTATTTACAAAATGAAAGCAGACATTTCAACAAGCGGATCTTCTTCTTAATAGGCAGGTTAACTTCTGGAATTATTTTTTATGTGTGTTCACAAAACTGCAGATGGCTTAGTGCAGATCTGGCAGAGTGTGTGGAAAAGACAGGCACTGTGGTTGGGAGCACCACCATAACCCGCAGGTGATCTTATTGTCTTAAGTCAATGTGCTGACATCCCACACACACACACAGTAGACACACACACACATACACATACACTCAATAATACATTAATTGGATAAACAAACACTGAAAAGGCCCAAACTTAACAGTGTATTTTTCTATGAAACTATGTTGTTAGCTGCCAAGAACTCATCTCCCAACATGGTTTGCCGAGGGATAATCGTGGAGAATTTACTGCTCATCCTCTTCCATCTTAACAACCACAGAGTTTTCAGTTGTCAACCTGATGATCAAAACTACCAATTTGACAAAATTATAGCGTAAAAAAGAAATGTAAGTCAACAGCGGTCACAATGAATCATGTGCTGAGCCCGGATTATAAGAGGTTGTAAAACACAAGGCAGATAATCCACTAAGAATGTGTCACCTCTGATTAGGGCTGTCACTCCTCAGCTGGGATCAATGTGTTGACAGATGAACCTGCTCTTAAAGGGGAATACCAACAAATTTCCGCTTTCAAATGTATGATTTTTTACAGTTGTGAATAATAAGTACTTGCTATAACAAAACGTTTGTGCCACCAACTAATCTAATGTGTGACTGGTGTACAGCTGGCTCCGTATAAAATGATTTGCAAGAGTATGGATGTGAGTTCAAGATGATTTCCTGGGGATCAAGGAGAATTTTCTGGATTGCAGCTGATAGATTTACCACATCAAATGTTAGCCCAGCATTGCATAAATGTCATTAATTGCAAGAGGAGCAGAGCTTCTGACTGTACATCTGTATGAACTCAAGAAAAGCTTGTTTGGAGACCCTACTTTGCAAAAGCTGCTGATGATTACAAAACATATGTGACATTTGTTAATTCTTAACTTGGTATCCGCACTTAAACGTTCTGCGGCCCACACTAAAGTCTCTCCCTGTCTTGAATTCTCCATACCGTCACATCACAGCGACTTGGGCTGTCTCAGAAACAAAATGACACATAAGACAAGGACCTGCTGTACTTGCAGACAACACTAAAATAAGCACAAGACTGCTTTAATCAGGCCCTAGCTACCACATCTAGTCCACCGACAACAATAACAGCCCGGCAATTTAAACAGGCTGTGGCCAATGCTAACACGCAGAGAGAGACAAGTTGAGTTTATTTTCTAAATCCCAGGCTGGTCAAACAAATATAAACAAAGATCAAACCATCACCACTACTGGATATCTAATGACAAAAACAAATAAATTCAAAAGTAATCTTTTTCTCCATGAAAGGACAATGCACACATCAAGTGTAACACGCATACCAACATATATCCACTATTACAGCTATAGTCACTATATGTATGATCTGGGAGCATGGATTTTGGCCTTTGAACTCCAGGAAGGCTCATACTGGAGGCCAATCTGGACAGAAGTGTCACCTGAACATCTTAAATGTTAATGTGAGTAATCAGAGCTTCATTTGGAGTACAGGGTTATATACTCAGCAGACAATACACAAAGAGCCTGGATTTCTTCACTGTGTTTACAACAAATCACTGTGAAAGAGGTTGATTGGTAAAAAGCAGTTTAATAAACCATTAGCTCTTTGGGTTGAGCACTTTCCTTCCTCCGCTGACTCGGATGCACAGATTTCCGCCTGGTCCATATAAAACCATATGTGTATGTGAGAGCTAATGACTATGATTAGGGGAGCCTGGATTAAGTCTTGCTGTGGTTCATGACACAAGCACACTGGCGCACAGACATACACATACACACACACACACACACACACACACACACACACACACACACACACACACACACACACACACACACACACACACTGAAACCTAGGTCTGTGATGTGTATATCCCAAAAAAAACAGTTAACATAAACAACATAAGTTATGTACTACTTAACTAAAACTTAAAATACATGTAATGGGTTTTCCACAAGACACAGATTACATACATGATTTTAACCAACTCATCAGTCATGTTAATGGAGGAGGTCTCTGGGATTTAAACAACATATCTTTACTATGTGGGTGTGCTCATTTAGCTCCCAATCTTAAGTGGGGGCGCATTCGAAATGTGAGATTTTATTTAACATTAAAAGAATCACATCCAAACAGCGCTTGCAATCTTTAATACAAGCATCCTTTGACCTAAAGCTAACACAAGAGTGGCGCTATTAGTTCAAGCTTGTTTGTGAACTCAAACAAAAGGAGCATTTCCAAATGATTTCCAGAGACTCTGAAAATCACAGTGTTAAAGTCACCCTGATGCCTCTGCACATTTTGTGCTGGCTATTCTCCAAACGCAAGTCATTGTAACAGAGCGCAGCTTTTTTGCATTGCATAACATCTCTCATTATAGAAAGACAAAAGAAAAAAAAAAAACTCACAATAAGTGGGCTCCACTTTGGGGACATTTTGGTCTTTATGAACTGACAGCAGGGCAATGCTCAATCCCTTAATACAGTGCAAGTGCGCAGCCTAAAGAATACCACGCCATTTGTCTTTGGAAGACTAACGAATTATCTCTTGTGTGGAACAGGAAAATAACCCAGTAATTCTGCACTCATGGGGCTACGAGGTAAGCCCTCTAGTCAGATAAAATTAGGCTCAAATGTCTGGACAAGTTACAGTAACAGTGACCACCTTGCTTGGAGGAAATAAATCAGCTAGCCACGTGGGCCGTCACTGAGGAAGACTAGAGAAGGGCAACAGGTGGCTGTCAACTTAGAGAAAAAGAGGGTCATCATCCACTTAGAGAAGAGTGGCAAGTCTGTCTGCCACTCCCCAGGCTCCACTAAGCTAAGCCAAGCACCAGCAGGAGGAGAGAATAAGGTAAAGCCAGTTCAGCGTAGTGTGTGGACAAGGTTCAGCCAAATAGTCACATCAGGCAAAGACTGGAAATGTCTTTTAGGTATCCAGTGTTATAACATCTCCCAACAATGTTATATAATAGGAATTTAGCAATCTTTGAAAAATCTGATAATATAATACATGATAGGTTTACTGTGTCAGTTACATAATTAAAGTGTCAAAAGCATCAAAGAGAAATCCTCTTTGTAAACATGTGCAAACTAGACCTCATCAAGATTAAGCAAAAGCTGTCTTTCTCATTTCTCTTGTGTCTTACCACTGGTTGAATGAGCTGTCATGTAAAAGACCCACTGGACTTTCCAAACTTTTGTATTACACGTCATGAATCAGCAGGTAGAATAAATAACCAAAGACGACTATCATAGTGACTTCATTCAAATGAAAAATGTCTCGGCCTTTTGTGTACTTCTACTGCATTAGAGAGAAACAACCAAATTCTGACAATTTACTGCCTAATAGCTTTTCCAGGCATTGGGTTATTTTTACACTTGAAGACGAGGAGGCACTGTGTGTCTGTGTGAGAATGTGAGTTCCTCTATGTTCTGCTACAGACAACTACAGTGCTCTTTGCTAACAAACCCTACAAGACACTGGCAAATTACTTTACAAGGGCTTATGCATGTATTTCTTACATTGTACATGGATTAAACAAGGTAGCAAAGCAATTAACACCTATTTATCAGTTACATCTTGCCAGAGAGATGCAGGAAAAGTAAAGGCTAAAACAGGAACTCGACATTGTTAGTAAAAGCTTAAGCAGTTAACATCCTTAATAAAAAAAACAACTTTTGATAAGTTAATTGTGTGTGTGCTTGCACGCATGCCACGTGCATCCATGTTTGCATGTGTTTTCACTCAACTCCTTGTGCTAGTTCCTTCACATTACTCAAAGGCACCAGGAGGCCCAATAAAACAAAGTGACAGAACACAGTAACTCCAAAGACATAAAATGTTTTCAGTCTCTGCTCTGTGCCAGTGCTCTGTTTTTCACAGTGCTGTTGAAACGCCATTAATTCTCACTCAAATTAAGATTCTAGGCTGTTTCCCAAAACTGCCACTGTGTAAATTCAACAAGGACCTCAGTAAAATAATCCACTGGTAATGGAGGTAATTAAAGCTCATACCTCATTGGTGATATAGAATGAGAAAGATAAATTGACCGTCATGAAGTGAGATGTGACAAATGTACAGTTTAGATTACAGTGCAGTTTATTACCCACCGATGCAGGCATGAACTCTGACGGATAGCTGTGTTCGAAGAATAATGCTGTGTTTCTTGCCTCTCCTGTGAAGAGAAAAAGACAAATGGGGAGAAAGAAAAATGTTACTTGGATATTTAACAAGCATGATTATTTAAATTTGTGTGTGTGTGTGTGTGTTTGTGTGTGTGTGTGTGAGCGTGCTTTTGCCTGTGTGTGTGTGTGTGTGTGTGTGTGTGTGTGTGTCAGGTGGTACACACACAACTGTATCAAGATAGAGAAACAGAATGTCTGTCTGAATCTGAATCTGAGGCAGCCATCAATATGCTAGAGGCAGGCAAGTGCTGACAAGAAAGTAAAAAGAGCTACCGTGCAAAGCTGCAAACTGATCTTCGAGCTAAATTCTTTTCCAACAAATTGTACCGTTTAGTGTTGCCCCAAACCTTCAATATTTGCAGTTTGAACACAACAAGAGAACAGGATGCAGAACAGAACAGGGGAAAGGTCTCTGAAGGTAAAATTAGAGGATGGGAGCAGCTCAGAGGTCAACTCAGCCCCCTGTGTTAATGGAGATATGCCGAGACCCTATCACCATCCTGTCAACTGCGTACAATGCCTGAATGACAATCCAAAACAAAGACAACAACAATGTACCCCAATTCTATTCAGTCATGAAAGTGAATGTGAGAGCATACAAAGTCATACAAAGGATAGCCCACCCTCTAATTTGTATATGAAGTTTGATGTAAAATGTGCCTTTTTAAAGGATAACGCTGGCGCTATTCTGTTTTTCTTCTTCTAGTTTCAACAAATCCCACAAAAAGATCCAAACCAGTGATGCATTAGTACGTCTCTCAATATTTTCCGCCTTCCCTACCCTGTCCGTGGCAGTCGGCCACAAGCTCAATCATTGCTACTAATTTCCTTAAACAGTTGGGCACTGTAATTTTAACCAATGTTACCTTAACAGGATTAAGTGAATTTCTAGAGAACTGTTTTCAGCTGTGGATTATAATATACTTTCTGCGTTAGTGGGTATTAATGTCAGTAGGACAGTAGGATTTAGTCAAAATAAACTACATTGCTCATGTTCATGGTAATGAAGGAACAAATCTACAGTAGTGCGACACTGTGGCTCATTTTCATAGTTGTTGGACAATAATGGTCAATCAATCTATGGCAGAAATAAAGTAAATCAGGCTGAACAGTGTGACCTGCTGGTGTGATTGTTGACCATAAAAAAATATAGAATATTATCAGCTTTATCCTTGTGTTTTTAAGCCAGTCATAATTAAACATGTCTGCTTGTGTTTGCATCCCAAATGTAAACAACAACATAACATAATAGTAACAACATCAATAATTAGTCAGATATCTAGTAGTTGCATTGTCTCAATTCATTTGACAGATAAAGCACATCACAATCCCACGTTTTGAATTCTGCTGGCGAGGGGCCACCCTTTTTGGATCACAGATCATGCCTTTAACATCCCAACTAACCAAAGAAGCATACACACAACCCCAGTAGACAACTGTAGACAAGAGCACAGCAGGTAGAGTTGCTCAACAACTCCCCCCCCCACCAACACAACTCCTCCTAATTCGACTCTCTGACAAATGGGCTTTTATGTCGCCTGCACAAAGGCTGTGTGATTGTGCATACTGGCACAGCGCCAGCGACAGACTGTTGCTGTTAGTGACAATCAGGCAGCAGTGGGTCTGACAGAGAGAGAAAAAGTCTATCAGCACTGACGGCAGATCATACTGCTGCCTCACCATCCAGCCAACGAGCAGCATTACTGCATAACTGCTCCACACATCCAGACAGACAGGCATACTGACATCTTTCCTCCTGCCCCGACCAGTCAGTGGGATACTGCACTGACATGCACACAAGCAGATTACATGGCAGGGGAAGTCTGTATATGCTCACTGTTTATCAAATATAATATCCAGCAACAAGCAGAGGCGACACAGGAGTAACATCTGTCAACATGGACCTTAACTGGTGAAATGAGATGGCAAACAGGAACTTAATCCTCTGTGATGCTGTTGAGGCAAACGAGTAACCAGAGCCATTTTGTCACGAACGTCTGCTTTCTCTCTGCTTGTCTGCAACAGTATCCCTGTGCTTAACCAAGACCTGAGGCTACACAGGCCAACGTGCTCATTATCAAATTAAACAATCGTGCATGGAATATAAGTGAGGTTTTCAGACCCCCCATCACCAATTAAAAATAAAAATTGGACCCTCCCACAGACAGTGCTCCGGGCCAGTAAAGGGCGGAGCCCAAAGTTATAGAAATAATCATAACTATAAATAATGTCAGCCAAATAACAAATTGGCTACACGTTGGAATATAATACCAAATGAATTCCAAATGAAATCTTTCATGTTCTTCTGTGCCAGAATGTTCTGGTTTCTCCCAGTGGTGGTAGTGTATAATCAACTTAAGCCAAGCTCCTATTAAATCTGATTCATCATGTGCAACATCATGCTTCTGAAATACCTTTGCAGCTACCATTTAAATAACCATGACTAGTTCTAATAATCTCATGGAATTAATAAACTTGACCATTACCCAAAACAATTACCTCCTACTTCCCTTTTTATGACTTTCTGACCATTACACAAGGCAATTGGTCAACATTAGATGGCTTTATTAAAGACTAAATGAAAACATATGGCCATTTTATTCATTCTGTACATGAAAAGAAGCAGTGCACTATAAATCTTTAATTTAATAGCATAAATCTGATATTCGTCATCATCACTTTTCCTGTCAAATGCTGCCAACAAGAATGCAGCTGTGGGAAGGTAGTAACTATACCTGCCAATTAGATACCCCACATTATTGTCTTCTCTATTCTTCTCCATTCTCCCATCACTGCTGTGTTGTGCGCACACTCATAAAGCTCGGTCTTAATCCTAATACCCAGAGGAGCAGCAACTGGACCGGTGGATGCTTGCCAGCTCCGTGCTCTCTGGCTTTATCTACGGGAGCATTACTGGCACTGTTTATAAAACAACACAAAATGTGTACCCACAGAAAGTGAACACACATACTTGGAATACAGTAAAGCCAGCGCTTCTCCTCAAAGACCAATTAATGCCAGACAAGCAGGCCCCAAAGAGGTCTACTGACTCAGCACTTCTTGGTGGACACCCCTGCTTGAGAGACTCCTGCATCAGTCTCCACAGAGGAACTCGCAGTGAGCCTGGGGGGTGCAGGGCACGGGGGTAAGGAGGCTGAAGAATCAGGGAAAGAGACTATCTATAGGGCTCATTCCCCCCCCCCACACACACACACACACACACACACACACACACACACACACACTGAACAATCACCAAGCTGTTCTATTCTGTTAATAATACCCATAAACTGCTCGGCAAACACGGAAGGGACAACTGGTGTTTTATTTCCCTCCTTGAAGTTGAAGCTGTACTGTGTTTGACAATTCCTCTGGTTCTTTTCAAATGTGCCGTTTCTCCTCAAATGAAAATCTTGTGTGCTGTGAGCCGCGACGAAACAATGTCCAAGTGGGTCAGAAAAAAATGAAAATAATGAAAGCGGAGCTGTCCTAAGAGAGATGAAAGGATATGATGAGAAACTCTGAATAGTTGAGGCCTACAGAGCAAGAACAGTTGGATATTGTTGGATTTTAAAATGCCTGACTTCTAACTGGTTGTCGAACACATCAAGAACACTCAATAAAACCAAGAAAGGCATATTCAGCGCAAAATTGTTGGCTTTCAGATGTTCTTTATATATACCAGTGCAGTGAAATGCTAAAAAGTGTCTTCTTCTGTGCTGTATCTCAGCTACACATTTCACATCCTGAATCAATTATGGAGTCAATAACAGCACTTCATGTTATCTTCTAAAGACAAGCCAGAAAATATGTCCTTGAAGACTTACAACTTCACTAATCACCTGCCAATCAATGTCACATATTTGAGCAGAAACAACATCAAACCCAACATATAACTCCCCACAGTTCAATACAACGTTTTTTTCTACAGCACCAGACCTAAGGTCCCCTGAAACAACAGGCTCACGCTCTTCAATCCATGTAATCCCCAAAAATATTCAAAGGGCTATAAATGTCTGTAAGCACATCTCGGATCAGGGCGACAAATGCAGGAAATTATGCGTATGGGGTCAATCAATCTAACGAGAAGAAGCCTAAATGAAACACTAACTACCTAGAATGTGCAGATATTTCTCAGCACACGTCTGGGCTATATGGTTTATAACTTGAAGTGAGACTATTAGAGATGGGGCAGGGATTTATGAGTCACAATCTCCTATATAACTGAGCTTCAAACACGGTGTGGAAGTGATTATGGCCCTTAAGCTCCCATGACATGGATATCTCCTGGCTCTGCAGCGCTCTGTCAGAGGATCATACTTTAATCTGTTTGTAAAGACACTAGGTATGACACAGGCGCCTCAGGAATGTAACCTGTCATTAATATCAATTACAGATGGATTCAATGGCCAATGATCAGGGGAGTTCAGGAACTTAGGCAGTATATGACTATATTACCATTCTCTTTCCAAAGGTAGGTGGCTGAGCTTAAAGCAAAAATAATGAAAGATCTTGTGCAGTAAAAGGAGGGTGAAAACAAAAATAAAATGGAACAAGTAAAGGTGAAATGCCTCATCAGACCTTTTACTGGCTCAATAATCATCAAATCAACAACACCGAGCAGTGGGGGATGTAATCATGGGCACATCAGCACCATAAAAAGCCAGCGAGCAGTACTGCCCTATTTTTTACAAAATAATTGGCTAACCACCTTCACCCCCAGCCTCCTCAGACAACACTGTGTGGGTTTAATGACACACATCCATACCAGCCTGTGCCAGTTGGCACACCACACAGGCCCTGGCAGGCTCGGTCTTCGACGAGAGAAGAAGTAGAGCACTTTAACCTCACAGCTCTCAATAGCCTCCCATAAGCTCCTAACAATTTCAGATGGAACTGGGAAAGGATAGCACTCTCAACGTCCAATAGAAACACCAAGCCAGAGAGCGGCTTATGAATTCCAAGTTAGACAAATAAATCCATACATGTTTGTGGTCCAGCCGACCAGGAACTCTCATGCCAACCTTTGGTTTGTGATCATCTAAAGTGGGCGGCATATGCATGATATATCAACATACTCCACAGTACATGAAAAAACATATGGAGTCAATAAAGTAACTGGCCAAAGAACGTGTAACAGAAATTAAACTAACACAATTTTAAACCTCTTCTTCATCCAGGTCTAGGAGTTATGTCAAGACAAAGCCTCATACAACTATATATTACAGGGAAACAATACAGCTAAATTAGAAGCTGCAAGTCGTATGGTGGTGGGTGTACAATTGTAGTTTGGCCACTTCTAATGAGAGCACTGAGGTAACATTCAATAGAGATGAGGGCGATTACTCATGAGACGTGTCTACACCTCATAAGTGGTTTAGATGACATCACTGCCGCCACTCGGCCAGGTATTTTAAGGGACATGAATGGATGAATGCCATGGAAACTCTGAGACAGTCTGTTACAAAAAAGGGCACTAATACCATCGCAGAATTGATCAAATATATCATCGGGTAGCTTTCATACTAAACAGGTTCCACAAACTTATCAGCTAACAAAATCCTGAGCAAATGAGATTGCTGAGATATTTAGTGACTGATTCACAGATGAATTAGAGAAGCTAATAATACTGATATTCAATGTAAACTTATTTTTCCTCTAGAATCTCAATGTGCTAGACTTCTGAAACTGAGCGTCCCTCAGGTGGGCTAAAGCCTGTCCCCTCAGCTCTTCGACATACCCAACCACCTCCTGAGAGCAGCTTTTGAGCAGGAGAGCTCAATCGGCTGCGGCCCGGAAAAGGGATTATTTTGCTAATTCATCCTGGAACGAAATGGGTATCATTATGATTCAAGTCACTATAATAGAATCAAATTAGGCAAAGGAATATAGCAGACAGGATATTAATATGTATCCCCATGGCCAAGGATTTAAGTACTGTATCTTTTCCCTCTCTCTCTCTCTCTCTCTCTCTCTCTCTCTCTCTCTCAAAAAACAATAATCACATTGTACTGATTACGTCTGACTGCTAAAGCAGAGAAATATAAGTGTGTTTTTAAGAGCAGTATTATTGTAATCAAAAAGCTCAGTTGAATAATACATTTTTATTTTTTGTTCATAACCGGAAATAAAAATCACAATAACATGAACAATCTATTCCTGGACAAACAAAGCCTGAAAAGCAATGTACATTATCAACCTGTTAGGTAGTGCCAGTCCCTCTTGTGTTTTCAATGTGAGCTGCTCTGGCACAAGCCCCAGCTGCATCTTTTGAAGTGCAAAGAATATATGACCAACGTTTTATAGAAGTACATAAACGTATTTCAATTTTTTTCATTTTTAGTGCAGTAATAGAGAATGTTTCTCATTTCAGCATGTTGTGTACGTACAATTGTTCCCTTTTCAAGTTTGGTGCAAATGCTGCAAAAGCTAAGAGAGAGACAGTGATGATTGTTATCTTACCCTCCTTCTTCCTGAAATCCCTCCAGTTCATCCCTCTGCTCCGCCAGTGTGGACTCCAAGTCCAGGTAGCTTCCATTATGGGACAGCTGAAGGGCACAGTCATCAGGCTAGACGGGAAGAAGACACAGTCAGACACTGATTTGTCTCAAATCCTCTGAAGATCATTTGCATTTCTACACATGTAAGAAATGCCAAATATTAAGTAAGTAGGATTTTTATGGTCAGTCCTGCTGGGAGCCAAATACCTGCTGACCATGTATGATATTAGAATAAGGTAAATCCAGAGACCATCTATCTAGGATTTTAGGCAAAGTATAAGTTCATAACCATATGCATATTAATCACAATGTGGTAGAACTTTTATTCTTTAAATTACAACTTCAGTTGAAACCAAAATACTGCCTGTTTGTTGTGTGAGAAAACAGTTTTATTCTTATTTACGGTCAGATACAAAACAAAACAACTTCTTTCTTTTTACGGGTGAACGTAAGGTGTATTTGAGGCTTATATCTAGACGGCAGTGGACCATAGAAAGTTATTTTATCAGCTCCTGTCAGCGCTCCACAATGACAAGCAGGGCAAAGTTGGAGAGAAGTCATGTAGATTTTTGGCAGTCTGGAGACTCTTATCTCGCTGCTGTCCCTGTCTGATAAACTATCATCACACCAGATGATATTGCAGAGGAGGTATGATTTGTCTGGTCTTGAATGGTCATGTGGTCGAGGAGATGAGGAATGAGAGTGTCAGTTCACTTGTCTGGTTGACCTCCAAATTGGAGATATTAACATATTTATATTTAGAGCCACGGGACAGCAGCTCCAACGGTGAAGCAGACGACAGGAAAACAAATAGAGTTACAGGAGGGCAAACATATAACTTAAGTGGAGAGAGTTGCAATGCTCTGCTCCATTAACAGTCAGGGTGTCTTAAAAAAACAAAGTACTGTACAGTCGGTACATTTGTATTCTCTTGTCGGCCCACACTGACGGCTTTGTAAGGCTATGATGGAAATATATAAACTCCCATTTACACATCCCAAATAATCTTAATTTCCTAAAAGAAGAGCAATGCATGTAAACATAAATGTAACATGTAAAACCATGTGTTTTTTAAATTAGACCGGTTATTGCCAGGTCTGATGCAGTTCACTTTCCTCCCCACATATGACAGTGACTTAATTGAACGTGAAGGAAAAAGGCTGGGAAAGACATTATGGGTCTGATGGCTCTGATCTGTAAGGCCATTCTGTTTGTATTACTGCAATACAGCACTCAAGGACTGTGTCATATTTGAGAACTGAAACAAAACATGTGGTTGGTTAGGATAACTCTCACTCTTTCTCCAACTCTCTTTCTGATTCTGAGCCATCTTGTTTGTGATAAACAAAAGGAACATTGGTAATGTAACAGTTGTAGGGATTATGTTGCTCAACTGAAGCGAGGCATTAGGCTGATGCAGCAAACATACACTGAAAACTTCAAACTAGATTGCCGTTGATGTTCTTACGGTAAGGCAGACGAAGAGACAGAACAGGACAGACATAGAGAGAACGGGAGACAGAGAAGAAGACAAAGAAACAAAGCTATACTGTACACAGGCAGAGGAGGGGAGCAAGTGCTTCTCCAGATTACAGGACAGATTCTGGACTGACAGGAAATCCAGGAATCGGAGCCAAAGTTAGGCCCGCTATTTTTATGCCTTTGGACTGACATGCCTTTAAAAATAATGGGTGTGACAGTAATAGGAAATGTAGCATGAAGGAGAAGACACACTAAATCATATATGCTGACCAGTGGCTGGGCCCTACATAATCTGTGAGATATTGAACCCAATCAAGGAAAACTTTTATTTGAATAAATGTCTGTTCTTCCTGATGTCTAAATCACAAAATATGCACTCCGTCACTTTAAAGGTCCAGTGTGTAACATATAGGAGGATCTATTGGCAGAAATAGAATAACATATTCATAGGTATGTTTTCATTAGTGTATAATCACCTGAGAGAGAAAGGTTTTTGTTGCCTCAGAATGAGCCTTCTATATCTACAGACACCATGGGTCTCCTTCCATGGAGTCCGACATGTTGAATCGCCAAGTATCTACAGTAGCCCCGAGTGGACAAACCAAACACTGGCTCTAGATAGGGTTTGTGTTTTCGCCTTACCACTAGATGCCACTAAATTTTACACACTGGTCCTTTAAGTCAATAGTGGTTATCCTCATTTTCCTCAATGTAGTATTAGAATACTGTTGTTGCTTCTGCAAGCAGAAAATATACCACTTATAGAGAAAGCTTTCATGAACTGGGTACAAATGCTTTATGAACGAAAATTGGATTTATTGTTGTAGTTCAGTGCATTATTTTTTAACATCTTTTTTTAATCTATTTAAATTGTATAGTTCTTTAAATTAAACTATAATTGTATAGTTCTTTAAAGTACTGATGAAGTTTGTGGATTGGAGAAAGGGGAAAAATGCTTGTTCTCTTTCAGCTTTACGCTCTGTATCACAACCTGAAATAGACAAAACATTGGGCTGAATTTGCAGCCGTAACCAGTAATTAGCTAACTGTGGAAGCAAGAAATGCATTTCCCCACACAAAGTTTTGACTCGCAGACCAAAGTGAAAAAGCAAAAAAAAAGTCAAAGTGAACTATGCAAGTCTGCCATTGATCAGTCCCCATCCGTACATCCAGCTACTCATCCATGCATCCCCACCATCCATCCTCTAACTTTAGGCTCTCATTATATAATCAAACAGGATTACTGTTTACAGGTCTTGCCATGTATAGCCATGCCAGGTTGATGCACACAAATGGCCCTTAATCCAGGAACAGTGCTAACAGATTATCAGTATCAGAGGCTTCCTTAGCTGTCCCCCGCCCAGGACTTGAACCCACGGTGGCCCTGTGATGGCCAAGTCCAGAGAAGTAACCACAAGTGCTCTGCTCACACACTGAGGTCTGGCCTCTCCCTTCAACCACCATACTGTGGTCCACTGACCATGGAGGCAGTTAAGGCAGAAAGGACTAAAAATAAACACCATGCAATTTCCAATTAAAAACTGCTATCTCACACCAGAATTCTTTGTATTCCACAGGGGGAAGATATCTGGCATGAGATAGCATATACTGTGTGCACATTTGAAACACAATAGCCATAATAATAACAACAACAATGCCTTTTACATAGTTTTGTGCAAATGCTAACCCTTTTGTTAGCCAGCCTACTCTAAATCAAACAAGAGGAATTACAGTAAGCCACTTTAAAGCTTAAAGTTTGTTTGATAAAGGTGAGAATGGTATTTGTGGTTTTTCTCTGAAGGCAAGTGATTTAAAACACATTAAAACACACTTGATGCATGAAAGAGACACCGCAACAGTAATCTCAAATTTCTGTCAAGCATGCAGAGGATGAGTCTGTCCACAGATGCTGCATTCTTCTGAACGGAGCCCTCTGCTGAGACAACACTCCAAAACGCAGAGACCGACAAAAACCTCAACTCTGCATAACAATGTGTAAAAGAATTCAAAGGAGCTTTGACAGGCATGAAGAAGGAACCTGTATTTTACAGCATTTAACATAACTTCTCATTATGGGACTCTGTAATTTCTTAGGAAAAAAACTGCAGGAAAACAACCGGCCCAAAAATTGAAATTGGTAAAGTGAGAGTCCATTCTCCAAGACTTAGCCACATTTTCCCTCCCTTGAATTCTGCTTTGCAATCTGATGCCAGGCCTCAAGGCCACCAGGCCACAAACTACAAAACATTGACAGAGAGGAAAGCATATGAAGGACTATTGATCCATTGATTTGTGTTGACATTACCAGCAGATTTGGAATGACTTCAGAAGATTTGGAACAGAATGCACACTTCATCATCTGACGAGGACAATGCTTTATTCATGAAAATCAAAAGGCTGAGTCAGGTAATGACTAGTCATACTTTCCATCCACAGTATCAACAGAAAACCTTGCTTACAGATGATATGTTACACCTATACATGGCAAGGATTAATATTGGTGTCTCAAACACAAATGGTCTATTACAAGTATTCTGCCTTAGGAATATTCAGTGCTACTGCAATAACACAATACTTGATATACTGCAATACGATACATGGTGGCATGGCATTTTATGAAAGGCTAATAAAAAAACTGCCTTCAAAGTGTGTCTGCTGTCCAGACAAAGCGGTTGTTGCCACACAACAAGCCTTTATGGTTTGAATCCTTATTGCCATAAAATATAAACCCTGATCATAATGGCTTTTGATGTATAACCCCCACAACACCCCTAATTGAGTTTTGACGCAGCATAGCCAAGGTGCCATCCCACGTACAACACGTACACACGTACAGCTCTCCCCTCTTGAGACTGCGGGGCTGAAACTGACAGGAACAGCCCAGAGACAGCATATGCTAGCTGTTTTGACTCCCTCGGCACCATGTGTTAGCAGCGTTCTATTAATACCACAGTGACCTGCACCATAGAGACAGAGCTCAAAGACAACAGGTTTGTTGTCAAAGGTATTAACAAGGTCACTCCAAAGTTACTTCTTCAAACATCTGAGGGTGTGAATCAGAGAAGTCATCGCTCAAATGTGGCGACACAGTCTCTTCATCCACCTGACTTTTATTTTTATTTTATTTATTTTTTTATGAAAAGCACAAGGGCTGCTCCTTCAAGTTACTGCTAACCACCAATGTGACCAAATCTCACAAACCAGGCGCTGCAGAGCCTACCCTCTCTGTCTAGTTTGCGGTCCAACTGGACTACTACTATACTGAGACCGGTCGACTGTGCAAAGTACATCAGCTCTTTGTTTGTGTTTTTAATTCTGCCCGCTTCCCTCTCCTCTCTCAAACAGTGGAAAGTGTTCCCATCCCATCCTGCTGGTCAGACTGAGTGGGCTACAGAATGAGAGCCAGGCTTGTGGTGATCCACAGCATCCTGCGGCTTCCGTGACTTATCTTACCAGCTCTACTCAAACAAGATGGAGTACCATTGATCTGACAGAATGAAGAAAGACCCTAATTAACTTTCTATTTACGCGACTTCCCAACCAGACTGAGATGAATTCTCAATAAAAGACTTGACCTCAGATGCTATGGCCCCTCTGTTTTGTTTAAATTTAAAGGTCAGTAGATGAGGTCTTTTGGAGATGTGTTTGGATGCACATAGTCTAATCAGAAGGCAGACACAGGCGTTTTTCCAAGAGATATAGCCTTCAGAGGCCTCTTACAGAAAGAAAAGACTAGAAAATGGGCTTCAGGTTTACATTATTTGTCACTGGCTTTCTTTGGGAAACTCACACAGGGCAATTACACCATACCAAAGAGGAACATTTAGTTATTTTGAGCTGCTTAAAACTGGCTGTGCAGTTGTGGATTTCGGGATGGCCAACTTTTGCAACCAAAACAATGTGTACTGTTTCACCTCCTCAAACGGTCGGGAATAAATGAAGACCGACCTGATGCAGCTGACCAAACACAACAATGCAGAGGTACAGCAAAATGCACTCTGCTTTTGACAAAGGAAATAACAGAATATTCCCCCAAAAAGGTAAGATGTCCAATTAAATTATTTAAAAAAACTCATGGGTTCAGAAGTAGGGTTGAGATCAGATGGCTGCAAATTTAAATCCCCAGATCTAGGACAATCCGGGTGGGGAATTACCCTCTTCAATCCCTCAGCAACTGACCAACTGGGCATTTGACCCCACCTACTCTAATTGGAGCTGTGTAGTGACAACAGCAGAAGTGGTTTCTTACATGGACTTGCACATTCATATATCACAAATGCAAAGTCTTTTTCCATGAAAGACTTTAGCTTTTTTCCCAGCTCCTTCACAGTTAAGACAAGATGAACCCAGCTGAAAGTTGAGGGAAGGTTAAATTGTAAAGCAAAGTCAAACAATCATTATTAATTTATTGAGTATACCACATTTGGGTTGTCTGTTTCCTTACTTGTTTGTTTCTTTTCTCTCACACAAAATAACTGACAGCCTAGATAATGAACAGAAAGAAAATCAGGTTAAACTGAGGGGGGGTTACTGTTGCGGTTGAGGTAAACATTAACAAATGCCTTCCTCCCCTCACCCAAATAATCGGTGTCAACTCCACTCCAGTGTCACCTGAAGCCACAAAATATCCCAATATGTCTTATTATAGGCCTATCCTTACTGACACTGTGCATGCAAGAACTGTTTGAAGACATGTTGATGCTCCATCAGCATCACAGATCAGCAAACTGCTCCAAGCCACTGGCTCCATCAATGGTCCATTAGGTTTGTTTGGTAGTAACCCCATCAACATGTTCAGGCTAATTATTAATTTAGCAGTTTGCAGGCCTGGGTGTTAATGTTTCACTAAGCTCATTTAAAGAAACACAGAAAGAAAAATAATTAAAAGATTTTATAAAGAAAAGTATACTGCATACCTTCTGTGGGGCTTTTAGCAGCCTGTGGACTCCAGCAATCTGATTTATCAGAGGAATATCTTCCCTGAAAGTGTACAGAGGTGGTCTGGTGGGCTCGGGGAAATTGGTGCTGTTAAATGGATCAGTATCATCTAAGAACTGTACCCTGCATATAAACGTAGCCATGATGCATCCATGCAGGGTGATTTGTTTTTTTTAGATAATGAAAATAGCGGATGCGACACCACAGCCTCTCTGACAGACAGCAGCCCCCCCTCCGGGCAGCGAACTACCGGCAGGTCTTCTGCAGTAGCAAAAACCTGCACCCTCTGTTATCCTTGGACCGTCTCCATTCGCTTCAAGCAGCGCACAGGACTCAGGACAGTGTACCCAACAGTCCAGAAGTAAAGATCCAGGGTACCTCGTTGAGAGATACGGTCAGTCAGAACGGTGTGGGAATGAGAGGGGCGGCGGTATCCAAGGGCATTGCGGGCGTTGGAGGTGCTGCTGAGGCAGACTGCGGACGGGACTGCTACACTTGGCGCCTGGTCTGTGAGAGCGATGGGAAGCGGCTCCCCTCCTCAAGCATAGACTCTGCCAAGGGACGCAGGCAGCAGCCAGACCTCAGCCGGCCCGACGCAGCTCGGGTTACAGGCGCAAAGGCGGCCTCCAGTGGCGAGGAGGAGAAGTACACTAAAACCGAAGCTGGCAGTGAGTCAGCCGTTCAACGAGCGATGCAATCAATGTTGTTTTAAGCTCAAACACAGACGATTACAGTAGATGAGCCTACTATTCAGTTTTTTGGGGTTTTTTTTACATTATTTTAATTTTTTTTTCCTTCTAAATAACCCGCATACATGTAAACATCTGTTTCCCATGCCAATAAAGCCTCTTTGAATTGAATTGACAGACAGAACTTTAGCATCACACCATGATGTAGTTGTAAAAGTTAATGAGTGATTAACAATATGACACAGTTTGCATATTAAATGTTAAGTAAGTAATCATAAATAAATTTTAGACTAGATTAGATTTTACTGTCTATGACATATTAGCAAACTCCACCTGCTGATGAAGGCCATGAGATAAGATGAGCTATGTATATATATATATATATATATATAAAGTTTTTGTCAAACTATTTACAAGGTCATTAATAAAGTTTTAATTTTTAAATCTGGAAGGAATTAAACGAAATTAGGAAAAGTGCCAGTGCCTTGTCGAATAATACCAATTTATCATAATGGATGGTATTGTTTTACATTTTTCTATATTATTTTACTATTATACCTGAATTATACCTATTTGACTAGCCTTAACCCACATACTGTAACACTTCCTGTAAGTGAGAACATAGGCTTTTGTCATTTGGGTGAACTGACTCAGGTAAGGTGTCATAAATTCTATAAAAACTGCTGTTTTCTCCAATAAACCTCAGAAGCACTTCTGTGCATTGGCCATTCCCCATCAGATAAGACACTAGTTAAAATTGTGTGTTCTTGCTCAGCTTAGGCTTCAAACTCTCTAGCACAAACTCAAACTTTTTGTAACAATTTGCACATGTACAGTTTGCACTCCATGTCTCTTTAATTTGCACACTGCACATAGTTTATACATTTTGAAATATAGTCTTTATATTTTCTGTTATTTCTTTATAATATTTTTACTTTGTATTCTTTATTGGAATTTTTACACTGTACTTCTTGCACTACATTTCCCCCTATGCTGCTGCTGCTGTGTCAAATTTCTCCCACAGGGGATTAATAAAGGAACATCTTATCATCTTATCTTAAACGCTGCACACCCCTAGCTGATGCTTCCTTATGCCAGAGCCTAGTCAATCTATAACAGAGGTCCAGTACATAATGTAGGTTCTCACAGTGTGAGCCACCATTTACATTCCAGCTCTGTACAGTGCACTATTGTAAACGAGCTATACTACAATTACTATACCACAGTACCACAGTGCTGGAGAGATGAAGTTAACACTCCCCAATCCAGGCCTGGAGGACAGGATACTATCCCACAAGGAGTTGGACAAGCTGGAGGAGGAAGAGGCTGGAGACAGACCAAAATGGGACAACAAGGCCCAGTACATGCTGACCTGTGTGGGGTTTTGTGTAGGACTTGGAAATGTCTGGCGGTTCCCCTATCTGTGTCAGAGTCATGGAGGAGGCAAGTGATGCTTTCATGGTGGATCCACTTTATTTGGATAGTCCACCTAAAGATATTTCACCAGCTTATTAGTTGAGATTCAGCAATTCAACTGTTCAGATACTCTATAGATGCATGTTAAAATGCCTGTTTGTAAAATGTAAAAGCGATGTTACTGTTGATCAGACATGATTTTCTTCTGTGCTTCTTTTTAACTTATTTATATCATATTTTGTATTTTCATACTGTGTGTGTAATTAATTATTTCCTGTGATTTTATGTTTGAACTAGTTTGCCTCAATTTCCCCCGAGGGACAAATTAAATATGTACTTTGAATTGAACTGTATTACAGTTCTGGATCAATGGCTATGAGGATGAAGTCTATATGATACTCATAACCCTTCTCTAAGTTAAGTAGTTAGCAAACAGTATCTCAAGACTGCTCATTCGGACATGAATGTACCCTGATGAAACCTGTTAAAGAGATCGGTTCAAATTAATGTGGACTCAAAAGGGTTCCTTGTAACATATTTGTTCAGATAAGAAGTTTTATATGCTCCGATAAGAACCCCTTGTAAAATGCTTACAACTGCCAAGGCTTGAATACATTGTACATTGCATTATAAACCTAACTGCATTCACCGTCTGAGTCTCTCTGTGCTCACGTGTATCATAAATGATTAACATCTAGATGATAGAATTTATTTGGATTTTCTGTTGAATATATACTTATATATACACACTAAATACTTAATATGTACTACTAAAAACTGTACTCAGCTCAATGATAGAGTGAATTTACAGATTTATTTGCATTAACAGTTCCTTTGTTCTTCCTGCAGGTGCATTTATGATACCATTTCTGATCCTGCTGGTTCTTGAAGGAATACCACTTCTGCATCTTGAGTTTGCTATTGGTCAACGTTTAAGAAGAGGCAGTTTAGGAGTGTGGGCTACAATTCATCCTTACTTGACAGGCGTCGGTAAGAAACATTTTGCATAATGTTTGCTAAAAAAAATAGTAAAAGTGTCTTAAAAGAAACCCTTTTGAAACATTCATTGGCAGGTATTGCATCCATGTGTGTATCTCTGACGATCAGCCTCTACTACAACACCATCATCGCCTGGATTATGTGGTACTTCTTCAACTCATTTCAAAACCCTCTGCCCTGGAGTCAATGTCCCACGAATGCCAACTTAACAGGTACAACAACACCACCGTACAGCTACAACTGGTACTGTACTTGTGAATGCAGAATGGAAAATTAAGTTAGAAACTTGATTTTGACTTAGTGACACACACTGTTGTTAAATTCTATCAGGCTTTGTCTCAGAGTGTGAGAGGAGCTCCCCTGTGGATTATTTCTGGTACAGGGAGACCCTGAACGTAACTCCACGGATTGAAGATGATGGCGGTCTGCAGTGGTGGATAGTGTTATGTCACATTTGTGCGTGGTCTGTGCTCTACATCTGCATCATTCGTGGTATTGAGACCACTGGGAAGGTACAGAACATTGCTTACTAGAGTAGAGAAGATCTGTATTCAGCTAAACAATAATATGAATACTTTATTTTCCCAAGGCTGTGTATGTGACTTCAACCCTTCCCTATGTGGTGCTGACAATATTTCTGATCAGAGGACTGACCTTGAAGGGCTCTTTGGATGGAGTAAAGTTTCTCTTCACACCCGATGTAAGTTGCATTTTTTAAATTCATTTTAGCAATTTTGAAAGGCAATACCCAGTTGATCCATTATTGTCTGCTTTACTAATTCTTCCAGTTAGCAGAGCTGGCAAAGCCATCGACATGGCTTGATGCAGGTGCTCAAGTTTTCTATTCCTTCTCTCTGGCTTTTGGTGGTCTTATTTCCTTCTCCAGTTACAACTCAGTGCAGTAAGTTTGGTTATTTTGTTTTAACCCGAGTCATTTACAGTTAATTGCACTGCACTGTAAATAAATGTTTCATTGCTCTTTTCCTTTAGTAACAACTGTGAACAGGATGCAGTAATCATCTCTTGCATTAATGGTTTCACCTCCGTCTATGCCGCAACTGTCATTTACACCATTATTGGCTTCAGAGCAACAGAGAGATTTGACAGCTGTCTTTCTGGGTACAGTATTTCAGTATTACAAACTTTTTTTATACGCTTATATGTTTTTCTTCTTAAGCAATACAGTGACTCTGAAAATATTTTTTTTTATTTTGGGGTTTTAGAAACATCTTAACATTACTAAATGCATTTGATCTTCCTGAGGGCAACGTCACCGGCAGCAACTACGATCAGGTTTTTCAGCATCTTAATGAAACACACCCTGATGTAATTCAACATCTGGATCTAAAGACCTGCAACTTAAATACTTTTCTCAGTGAGGTAAAAGTTCAGCAGGTCTACGTAAGACAAATAACAAATATATATTTTGAAATGATTCCCATCATGCTTTGCTATAATGCGGTGCTGTATTTGGTCCTAGGGAGTTGAAGGAACTGGTTTAGCCTTCATTGTGTTCACTGAGGCTATCACAAAGATGCCTGTCTCACCAGTGTGGTCGGTCCTTTTCTTCATAATGCTCTTCTGTCTCGGCCTGTCTTCCATGTTTGGTAACATTGAGGGAGTTGTAGTACCACTGCAAGACCTCAAAGTTTTTCCTAAGACATGGCCAAAAGAAACTATCACTGGTAACTTGCACATCTTTTATCTTACTTTAATAATAACAATTAGGATTTCTAGTATATTTGATAAATTCTTTGCTCTTTTTCAGGTATAACATGCATTATCTGCTGTCTGGTGGGACTGATATTTCTTCAAGGCTCTGGGAACTACTGGCTTTCACTCTTTGACACCTATGGAGGATCCATCCCTCTACTAGTTGTTGCATTCTGCGAGATGGTCTCAGTGGTGTACATATATGGGATAGACAGGTGATATACAGATTAAGTGTTATATTTGTCTGTTGAATTCTTAATTCCAATGTCTGGTATTGTTTTTTTATGCTGTGTGGTGAAACCAAAGACAGAATTGCATGTTGTGGGCAACCTGATAAATTAACCAAATAAATTGTGACCTATAACACAATAACCACTAGTGTAGACAAACATGATTTATCATATGCAGGATGTGAACATTATTATAGTTTTGATACTTCTGTACTGTTGCTTACATTTTTAGATTTAGATATTGGTGGTAGTTTAACAGCATGATAATTATAATAGATACCAGGAACATACTTCCTCCATAAACAAATGCACTTTTTCTACCATCCTAAACCTGATTTCATAAAATCACTTGGACATACACAATGATTTTGCCATTTAATCAGAGAAACAAAATTAATTCAGGGTATCAAAAGTGTAAAGCACAGAATTATTGCTTTATTTACTTTCATTAAGGAAAGCTTGTTTACTGTTGTGATATTTTGTCACTGTCCGTTCCAGGTTCAATGATGATATTAAATTCATGATTGGACACAAACCCAACTTCTTCTGGCAAGCAACGTGGAGAGTAATCAGCCCACTTATTATGTTTGTCATCTTGGTCTTTTACGTCGTCACCAAAGTTTCTGAAAAGCTCCTTTACAAAGCCTGGGATCCTGAATCGGTAAATATTAATTCATTTTGACATGATCTTCCTAGAATTATGGATAAGCATATTGTCATGTACCATAAAAACACAAAATATAACATCTTATCTCTGTCTTTAAAGGAGAAATTCCCAACATTGGAGGACAAGTCATATCCAGCCTGGATCTATGTGATCATCTTTATATTGGCAGGGATACCCTGTATTGCTATACCTTCAGTTGCCATCTGGAAATGTTTTAAGACAAAGAGGGATAAGTCACATCTCGAATTGGACGAAGGAACCAGAAAGGCTTCATCCTAATATTTTTGTAAAATTCAAATGTTTATTTTTCCGTAACATTTTAATTATTTATCATCGTTTAATCAACGCAATTTTAAAATAGGAGGCAGAACTCCCCCTTTCCTGCAGCCATCTGCGACAGCATGTAAAGCTCTTACTGCTTAGCAGTGAATCAGGTGACAATACAATATGAAAAGTGGCAAAATTATACAGTAGCATAAGACTTTGTGTTTACTTTTAAGACATTCTGTTTCCTGTTTATTAAAATATTTATTCCACAACAGTAGCATATTGGCTTACTCTGCTATAATTTATAGAGTAGTGATGTGGCTTTCTGCACGGCATCAGGGCATCTGTCGTATAAAGAGATTGCTACACCTAGAGGAATGCTGCTAGCATGGATAAACACACCATACATTATGGCCTCAAACAATATTCATGACATCTCTTGACATTCCCAAGAATTTTTTCAATGATTATCTTCATAAAGACAATATTACTATTATGGATTTTATTGTGATTGTGATATGAATGATATTATGTCTATCACCTTTTTACTTTTAGGAACATGGTATGCACCACTGAGTGCAAAATATCCCAATTATTATGATGAGGCCCTTGCAGTGTGTTTGCATCATTATTCTTGAGCTCCATTGCATAGAGATTCCAAACAAATTTGTATTTTGTGGATCTTAGTATGAGCCCACAAAAGATTTCTGTCCCAAGGCCCAGTGGTGGGTTGATGCTTCAGTGGTGTGATTTGGCAGCTAGTCTTCCATGTGAATTAAACAATTACATTTTGAGAGTGGGAGAAGATGCAGAGGGAAGCTGACTTTTAGCCAGGTAATGAAGGTACACCTATCTGTCCAGCTGGGGTCACTATTGTGACGTGTTAACAGTGTGGAGTGTTTGAGAACTGAATGAAATATTGATTAAACCAGCTATGTATTGTTATTTTTAACCCCTTAGTTTCATCATTTGCCTATAATATGTCAAGTAAATTGTACTTTATGAATGATTTACTTTGTGTTTTCCAATTTCCACTTAAGAATAATGGACGTGACTGATAGTACCTGTATGAATATGATATAGAATAGAAATTCAGTGGAAGGAATTTTGAATAGTGTTTTTGGTGACTAAGTCTGATAAGGGATTCCATACACATATTTTTTCCAGTGTAAGTGGTGTTTGGTATTACTGCTGACTGAAATAATGTACTGTAATGTAAACTGTATCACGTAACAAATTAAAAAGGCATGTGTACTATCACAGTTTTACTCTCCGGGTTCCCTATTTATGCTGCACTGCATTATAATCCTGTTATTACCTCGGTTATCAACATCACATCATGTCGCTTTACACAAGGGCTTTTTATTAAACAAACAAACCACATTGTTCCCACAGCTTCAAGAGCCAACAAGAAAAACAGAGACTGATAAAGCAAACGTCGCCCCTCCGTCTCCTGATACAAACAGGTAACAAGTCACCAGGGCCTCCCTTTTTCTTCAGACAAAGTAGCAGACAAGTCAGACAAAAAAGATTTGTCCTTGCCTCATAAAAAATACCAAAATGACAAAGGACAAACAAGTGATGGACAGAGAAGCTGAAAGTGCTGAGCAAACGCAGGTCCATGGACTTCAAGAGATGACAGAGAGACCAAAATGGGACAATAAAGTTCAATACTTGCTAACCTGCATAGGTTTTGCTGTGGGACTTGGTAATGTGTGGAGATTTCCATATTTGTGTCAAGTGTATGGTGGAGGTAAGAGCATTTTATTTCCAGTGTGCTTTGTATTGTTAACACAAAAAGTTGGTTGGTTACGACAAGAAACATCATCCAAAGATTCTCTCTACAAAACCAGAAACTGAATAAAACCTGCTCTTAAGTTAAGATATCTAAAAAAAAAAAAGAATTATTTCTTTTTAAGTAATTCCATCATTAAATTAAATACCAAATCTGTATAATTAATTTGTATAAATTACAACCTTCCTCTCCAGGATAAATGTTCCCATAATGCCAACAATCATACACTCCCAGACACTAGTTTCACTGCAATGTCGCTCTACAACCAAGTAGTCACACCCTGTTTTTTACATTCATTTTTCTCTAAACCTTTATTTAACCATCATTACCTCACTCACATATTACCATGTGTGACACGACTGAGACATGGTTGCAGAAATGTTGCAGACATTACTTGATGTTTCTGACTTTGATTATACAACTTTTCAAGATAAACTTGCTAATCATCTTGATTAATACTTAGACCCAGTGAGTACTTGGAAATAAATTATAACTGCAACTCACTTTTAATTCCATCAAGGGGAAAAACTGACATTTAAACATCACTTCTACATATAGTTTAAATAAATATGTTTTATGTGACAGTCAATATGTCTTAATGAGTGAATTCTCCTTTTTCTTTCTATTATATGCTTTTTGATCTACAAAATGACTTGAATAAGTGCAGTCCGCATGTTTATTTTTCCAGTGAAGGTCAATCTACAAACATGTCTGACCAGAGAGATTAAAATATGTAACCTGAATCTCAGCAGTAATTTATGAACAGATAATACTTCATTAGTGATTTTGTGACTGCAGTACATTTGTTTCTTGTAAAATGTCATTGCTTATATTTTGTTCATAGCTGTGATGGATCTACTTAAGACAATTCCTACTTGAATAGTTCACTATAATACACTACTTTATTAATCCATTAAAAAACAGGACAAATGTTTTCACTACTCCATACAAAATATAGATAAGTAATAATAAGAAAATAGTTAAACTATGTCTGGTGTTATAATACATTTTTTGGTTTGATTAAGTGCGATAAAGCTCTGATTGCTGATAATAAAATGTCTAGTAATCAAAACTGAATGACCTTCAACAATTAAGGCCAGTGTTTTTTGATAAGGTGCAGTCAATTGCTTAAGGGAAGAATTCATGTTTATCGTAATTGTCAGCTATTACAATAGATTTCTACTTATAAAACATGTACTGATTACTGTGTTCGCTTTCAAGGGGCATTTCTGATTCCATATGTAATTGCCTTGGTGTTTGAGGGACTTCCTCTGCTGCACATGGAACTGGCCATCGGACAACGGCTCCGCATGGGAAGTGTTGGCGTGTGGAATTCCATCTCCCCATATATGGGAGGTTTAGGTGAGAAGGTTTGGTACCAATGAACATTATCAATTTTGGAATTCACCCATAAAAGTGAGGTCACTGCCATCCATAACATACATACATTTCTTGGGGGAAAATGTCAATGTGCACACAGGTGTGGCTTCCATGGCAGTATCCTTCCTAGTTGGTCTGTTTTACAACATGATCTTGGCCTGGATCCTTTGGTACTTCTTCCACTCCTTTCAAAGTCCACTTCCCTGGAGGGACTGCCCTTTAAACCTGAATCATACTGGTAATTTTATGACAGTAATATAAATCAACAATGAATGCTGAATAATAAATTAAAAAACTTCTCATTAATTAATCAAGCTATGATTAATCTCTTTGATGCAGGCTATGTAAGTGAATGTGAAAAGAGCTCAGCAGTGAACTATTTTTGGTATCGTGAAACACTGAACGTAACACCAAACATCGAGACCAGTGGGTCCTTGCAGTGGTGGCTCGTGCTGTGTCTTGCAACTGCTTGGTGCCTCGTGTACATTTGCTTCATACGTGGAATTGAGACTATTGGAAAGGTAATTTACCTTTTTTTGGTGTACTGTAATGCTACAAATAATTTTATTGTTATATCTATTTGTTATATCTCTAGCCCAGATACGAGCAGTTAAAGAACATAAAATGTGGGTACCATTAAAGTAGCTGAAAGACAATTCAATTCAATTCAATTCAATTTTATTTGTATAGCGCCAATTCATAACAGAAGTTATCTCAGGACACTTTTCAAATAGAGCAGGTCTAGACCGAACTCTTTAACATTAAACACATGAAATGGATTCAGTAGAATTACAGCTGCCTTATCAGCATTAGTCATGTAAGGCAGGAAGAGATGAGAGCAACCCAGTATAAAATTAGCCAAAACTGAAGTTCAACAAAGAGAGGACCTACCAATAATGTTATTCAATGTGTTTTTTCACATGTATTTTGCATCCTGCTAAAGGTTGCATTAAAGGCAATAAAAGGGATGGATGAAAGATTGTTGTTTATTACCCGAACAAGAAACTAAAGAGTTTAGAGCCATAAAAAGCCTCTCTAACATTAAGGTTCTTAACAATATGCTTCCAAAATGACCTGCACACTAACGAGGGATTCGGTTTCATGAGTGCATGCAAAGGGTTACAAACATTTATAATAATTTTTTTTTTTGTGAATATGAAATATTTCATTAACATCCAAACATTTTCAACAGGCTATTTATATCACAGCCACCTTTCCGTATCTTGTTTTGACCATCTTCTTGGTCAGAGCCTTGACTCTGTCTGGGGCCACCGATGGCTTAATTTACCTCTTCACGCCAAATGTAAGTTTGTCATTTATTTCCAATTGAAATAATGTTCAAGACAGGATTTAATGACTAACAATTAACTAACTAACAATTAATATGTTCATCACAGTGGGAAACCCTGAAAAATCCAGAGGTCTGGTTGGATGCTGCCACTCAAATCTTTTTCTCTTTGTCTTTGGCCTTTGGGGGACTTATTGCTTTTTCCAGTTATAATGCTCAGAAGTAAGAACATTTTGAACACATTTCCATTCATGAAAGAGAGTATACATTTGTACAAAATTTGAAAAATAAAACTGAGACAGCATTTAATCTTTGCAGGAATAATTGCGAGAGAGATGCCCTGATTGTTGGTTGTGTGAACAGTTTTACGTCAATATATGCATCCATTCCTATTTTTGCCATTCTTGGATTTAAAGCAAATGAAAACTACAATGCCTGCAGAAATTGGTAGGTACAATGGAGGTAATTATGGTTTGCCATAGTACAGTATATCTGGCTTGATAATTAGTGGTATTATTATTAGATATGCAATTGGCAGTTATGTACTTACAAGCTGTCAGAACTCAAAGCAATGTGACTGCTGTGACTATAATATATACATCACTTAATCATACAATAAGAACACTGTTTTTACTTAAATTACTTTAAATGATTTGTCAGTTAACCAATGATTTATCAATTAATCAGTACAAAAAACTGTTTTAACTTTTCTCAATTAATGCATAGAATTCCAGCCATAGTTATCATTATTAGCAGTGATGCTTGTAGTGTCAACTGCCTGATTTCCTTTCTTGATGATTTTAGGAACATACTCAGATTGACAAATGCATTTAACATTGCGGATGAAAACATAACTCTTGAAAACTACGGTGACTGGTTAAACTATCTCAATACAACGGATCCCTCGGAGGTTGACAACCTCAATCTAAAGACCTGTGATCTACAGACTTTCCTCGACCAGGTAGTACAATCTATTACATGTAAAATAGTTCTGATTCTAACCGTTCATAATACAACAGCTTTGTGTGGTGTATGAGATCATGTATTACATCCTACCTATAGAGCGCCTCTGGAACCGGACTGGCCTTCATTGTGTTTACTGAAGCAGTGATAAATATGCCAGGCTCTCAGGTGTGGGCGGTGCTCTTCTTTGTCATGCTCTTCAGCTTGGGCCTCTCCTCCATGTTTGGAAATCTAGAGGGGGTCCTTACTCCTCTGCTGGACCTGCACATGGTTCCATCCTGGATGCCTAAGGAAATTTTCACAGGTAAACTGAAAAATGGAATAACTTAATTTAGTGTTTTCAATCATGACATATGAGGCACTGATAACAAAAGTTTGTATTGTATTGATCTGACTGAATATTCCAAAAGAACTGCCAAGGTTAGGTGCACAATATCTCTTACTTTCTATACATAATATGACACATAAAAAGCACACCTGTAAATGTAGCTTTTTTTTAAATCATATTTTATGTTGAAATTTCCTTTATTTTCCTTTTTTGCTCATAGGGCTAATTTGCCTCAGCTCCTTTACTGTAGCCCTCATCTTTACTTTGGGCTCTGGAAACTACTGGCTGGAGATTTTCAACAGCTACGTGGGATCCATGCCTCTGCTCATCATAGCATTCTTTGAGATCATCAGTGTGGTATACATCTATGGAATTAACAGGTGATATTGTAATCATCATCATTATACTTGGAATATCACAACATATTTGAATGATTTGACGAAGTGCTTCCATTTGCCCACAGGTTTAATGACGACATTGAATGGATGTCAGGTCGAAGACCAAACTT